CGGGGTTTCACCGTGTTAGCCAGGATGGTCTCGATCTCCTGACCTCGTGATCCGCCCGTCTCGGCCTCCCAAAGTGCTGGGATTGCAGGCTTGAGCCACCGCGCCCGGCCCAGATTCTGTGTTTTTAACCATCATGATATTCTGTACAAATTTATTACAATAAATAGTGTTATATTTCTAAGGATAAGAGTAGATTCTATGCTGTGTGTGGTGGCTCACACCTGTAATTCCAACACTTTGGGAGGCCAAGGTGGGAGAATCTCTTAAGCTCAGGAGTTTAAGACCAGCCTGGGCAACATAGCGAAATCTCGTTTCTACTAAATTTTTTTTTAGTTAGCTGGGCATGGTGGTGCACCCTTGTAGTCCCAGCTACTCAGGAGGCTGCAGTGAGACGATTGCTTGAGCCTAGGAAATTGAAGCTGCGGCAAGCTATGACCACACCAGTGCACTCCAGCCTGGGCAACAGAGTGAGACTGTCTCCAAAAAAAAAAAGGAAGAAATTTTAATAGGCCTTCTCTGACATATTGCAGCTCGTGGGACAAATTAATGGTGAATATTCAGATTCACATTATCTAATCACTATATGCAGTAGCTAGTTCTTTTTGTTGTTGTTGTTTTTGTTTTTTTTTAAGCTGACATCATGTTTTATGTAATGTTTCCCTCCAATAGAACTGAAACAGGCTACGGACAGCATCACCTTATGGGAGGCCCAGAGTAGAAAGACCTCTAGGGTGTTGAGGAAGAGGTGTTTGTCTCATTAATTACCTTGTATGGTTATAGTGATATCAAGAAGATTACATAAAACCTTATGCCAGGCAGGCAGAAGAAAGAAAAGCAATCTGTTCTGATGGGGTTAAGGGAGACCCACAAAATGTAGAGAAGCAGTATGTGCAAAAATGTTCATTAAAACTGGTTAAAACAGCAAAAAGCTGAAAGTAACTTAAATGCCTAGCTAATAAAAGGGAAATGATTGAATCAATTATGGGCCATTGACCCGATGGGTTATTTTGCAGCTATGTATTTATATAGTTTAAGGTTTTTCTTTTGCAAAATTTTTATCTGCTGTACTTTGAAAAGAAGAAAATCATCTTGATTTGATCACACTGAGATAATCACTATTAAATTTTGGTTTGTTTTCTTTCAATTTATGTTTCTGTTTTCTTTATAATGCAGCAGCCATTATAAGGGATAATTATAAAGATGAGGTAGCAAAATTGTAAAATGCTACAATAAGTAAACGAGCAAGATAAAAAGTTTTTACAACTATGGGAATAAATAGTACATAGGAAAAATGATGGAAAAGAACTACACTAACATTTTAACGGTGGTGATCTGAGGGTGCGATATTACGAGTGATTTTATTTTCTCTATTTTCTACATTGTGCTTATAGGTCACCAGTGAGACACTCTCAAGACGCCTTGAGTGTTAAACTAATAAAATCCATGCTTACTGATGACTCCTCCAAATCCTTGCTACTCAGTGTGATTCTCAAACTAGCAGCATCAGCATCATCGGGTTGTTTATTAGAAATACAGGCTCCAACCCAAACCAACTGAATCAGAAGATGATTTTGACAAAATCCCCTGGTGATCCTTATTCATGTTAAAATTTGAGATGTATTGCTCTAAATGATAGGTTTCCTTATTTCCAGAAAAGCAGAGTTTGATAATAGCCTAATTAATGGTATTACTAGCCTAAAAATAATGTTCTTATAGAAAGGGATTGATAAGAACGTTGGCAAATGGAAGTGAAACAGGTTTTGAAAATCTGACGCTGTCGAAGGCTGAGAGAGTCAACTTGCAGATCCCAAAGATAGTCAGTAGGGACTTGAGGGTTCCTGTGGATCATGAGGGGTTCACCTGGTTCTCCAGGCTATGAACATGTGTCAGTATAACTTCTCCACTGGTCTTTGCTCTAGCTCTGTCATCACAAGGCTCTCTGGCTATAAACTGGTTTTTCTTCTAGCTTTACTTCAGGGAGAAATTGCCCTTATCATGTGTCTGAGAGAGAGCTAGTCTTTTGAAGAGTCCTGTGATTCTCATTAAAGTGTAATAAATTGCCTTATCTTAATGCATGAGCCATAAACTGTAGTATCCAGATTTATTTTCAATTTTCATTTATTACATCAGCATCTTTGTGAATTTGTAGATCTGGCATGCTTTTAGTTTGTAAATATTCATGAAAGAGAGGCTGATTAATTTTAAGGAGTTATTGATAAAATTACTGATGAAATTTTAGATAATTAAAACCACCTTAAGGAAGGCCCTTTCAGGATGGCATGGACCTCCCTGTGGGAAATGTAGGTGGCTTTTGGAAACTGTATTAACTTTGTAATTGACTTTTTAAAAACTGAAATGAAAAAGGATACAAATGGGAAAGAAAGTGTCTTACAGTTTTGTTATTCAAGGAATCCTGACTTATTTGGCATCTTTCAATTCAATTGACACTTCTCAATTACTGAATTTTCTCCCTCTTCAATATCAGTTTTTGAAAGTATTTGAGGACCATAGAATTTTGGTTTTCTGTGACACCTCAGGAGTTAATGTTGCTCAATCTTTTCCTTTATAGAATGAGATCTTTTTTTCCAACATTTTACATAATGTCCTCAGAAAAGATCACGCCCTGGTGACTAGAGCTGTGGCCTTGAAGGTGGAACATTTCAAAACAAGTGAAATAGAGGAACTCTATGACTTATTTACTTACAGCAAGGTAAAAGCAGTTAGAAATTTCCTTTGGCTTTGTACTCTTGTAGAAAGTTGCATAAAATGGATTCTAAGGGTCCTATATCAATATACAACTTAAAACTTTTTATGAAAATAACCTTATTTTAATTCAATACATAGGTTTCAGAAAACATGATTAAATTAATTCTCACCTTGCAAATATCAATCAAGCCCATATTAATGCTTGGATCCATCAACCATAGACTTTAACAACTTGCTACTTTTAAGGTGAACCCTTCTGCTTGATGGAAATTTATTCTTGCTATGTAAAGATCTCAATTTTTAAAAATGTTATGTACTCTGCACTCTTTACATGTAGGACATCTGCTTACCTTTTACCTCTTAATTAGTGTACTATTTTATTAGCACATTCCGAAATAATTCAAACATTCAACTAAAATGCAAAATGCAATCAGGAGCACAGCTCAGAATATTGCTTATAAATATGGAATGTGTCAGTATGGGGATATTGAATTTCATTCAAATAACGGAGAGCTTCTTTTTTCCTAGGGAGCGTCTATGGCCCGGATGCTTTCTGGTTTCTTGAATGAGCATTTATTTGTCAGTGCACTCAAGGTGAGCTTGCAAAATAGTTGTTACCTGGATGGCAGTAAACAGAAATTGCTTTGGCATGTTATTTATTTTAACCTTAACTTTTCTATTTTTACAGTCATATTTGAAGACGTTTTCCTACTCAAATGCTGAGCAAGATGATCTGTGGAGGCATTTTCAAATGGTAATTGTCCTACTTTCTGACACGTTCTTGCTGAGTTGTTTTGTATGATACTGGAAAAGACTGGGAGGCCATGGGTGAATGGCAGTTCCACAGAAAAACAACTTTGTCTTGTTGTAGAACTCCCTTAGGTCATGGGTAGTGTCTTTAGTCTTCACTATATTTCCAGTGCCCAGAACAGAGCATGGAACATGTTAGATCAATAAATATGTGTTCATATTTATTGAATGAATTAATTAAAGAACCATTCATATATAAACAGAGTTCCAAATTTGCCCCAGAGGATCACCCACTGCAGGACTACTACATAAGTGAGGAAGAGAATAGCTACCGAGCTTCTTTTTGGACATTGCTACTTCAAAATGTTTCACTGATAACCTTACCTGCTTTTGTGATGATTTTTTAAAACAGGCCATAGATGACCAGAGTACAGTTATTTTGCCAGCAACAATAAAAAAAATAATGGACAGTTGGACACACCAGAGTGGTTTTCCAGTGATCACTTTAAATGTGTCTACTGGCATCATGAAACAGGAGCCATTTTATCTTGAAAAGGTTAAAAATCAGACTCTTCTAACCAGCAAGTAGGTAGCTTTGCTCTTCTTTGTCTTCACTTTCCTTGGGGTGAGCTCTGACCCAATGGAATCCAGCCTGTGGGTGAAGAAGCATTACGCCTGCTGGGCATACACACTTCTGCGATGTGACTGTGTACTAGGGTGAAGCAGAGTCCTTGTGTCCAGGCAAGGCCAGAGACCCACAGTTAGGGATTCAAGACACAGTGCCCCTACCCTGGGATTTAGGGTTACATCAACGACCCAAGCTGTGGGGTATTGTGTGTTCCTCTTCGTCCCTCAGACAGAGGTAATGAATTACTTGGAATTCTAAGTTGGAGACAATAAGATAGAGCCATAGATTGCCACATGTTAGTAAAGAGGAAAGGAAGTCTTATTGCAGAGTAGTCTTCTCTTCCTTAAAAATGAAACTGAATGGTAACTATTTCCTTGAGGAATAGTTCTGTGCGGGGGTGTGCACATATGTGTGTGGATGCGTGCATTTGTGTGTTTGTAGCCATACCCACAACATTAGAATGATGGCCTTTAGATTCTGTTAGACCTGGATTCAGATATTGACTTCTCAAAAATTCAAACCTTAGGTGTTATTTAAGCTCTGTGAGTTTCAGTTGCCTTATCTATAAAATACACGCAGTAGCATGTATCCCAAAAGATTGTGTAAAAGTGAAAAGAGTATAAAATAGCCTAGACTATATCCCTTTCTTCTTCTCTTCCCTTTCTTAATTTATTAGCTGATTTTCAACAGTTTTTGGTAGTTTTAATCTTCACATTTCATTGCAGTATCAGCACAAATGAGTAATTAATTTTCAAATACCATCACCAAAATTTTCAGATAGTTCTACTCTTTCTTTAAAGCCTTAGGAGAGAGAAATGGGACACTCAAAAGTTCCTTCTCCCTGTATTACTCTGCGATTTTTGAGAAGACCTGTGTGTCTTAGCTATGCAGATAAACACAGACCCACAGCTGACAGTCTTCAAGACACCAGGCTTGTGAGAACTTAACAAGATTGGAAATATTGCCCAAACTCTGAGTAGAGTATCTCTTCCGATGATGAATGTGCTTCCTGTGGTTGGCTACTTCATCCAGGTCACATCCAGCAATGTGGGAAGAATGCAGACATTCAATAAATATAAATGTCATCTGTTGAATACTTTTCAGATGGGGAGAATGCTTGAGGCTGAAAGTATTTTGAAGTGATTGTCAAGCTCTTTCTTCTAAACTACTTTTCATCTCTCTGGGCATGGATGGATTTGGGTCTGTTTGCAGCATTTGAACTACCCTTGAGTGAAGCCAGGTGTCTATAATTTAACATACGCAGGCCTTGAAGGTTTCAGACATAAGAGTTTTAGTAGCTACCTAAGTTATAAAAGGAAGTAAATCCATAAGACATAACAGGAGAGAGGAGTAAACAATAGTGAAAGTAAAACTAGCTTGTAAAAACAGTGGTGAGTAATCCTCTCTGCATATCCAGAGAGAATGACCAAAGAACCCGAGTTCTGTGTGCTATTTCATCGTCTCTTTAATCATGGCTCAGAGTGTATGTTTTTATGTGCGAAAAGTAACTAAAGTTTTTATTTTCTTCCAATAAGTGACACATGGATTGTCCCTATTCTTTGGATAAAAAATGGAACTACGCAATCTTTAGTTTGGCTAGATCAAAGAAGCAGTAAGTAACAAATTTTAAAAACATCTTTACATATATGCACATATAAAGGCAGGGAATAAAATACTGAAATGTCTAGCTTTTGAAAAGCTATCTCATTTCAAACTAAAATATTCTTGTTGAACATAGAGTTTTAAAGAAAAGTGTCAAATCAAAAGCTATTACATGTGAAAAATATATAATGACCTGGTAAGAGCAATATATATTTTAGAATTCCTTTAATTTTTTGTTTTATTGTTTATTGTTTAGAATTGAGTATGTAGTATAAATAGGTATTAAAACCTTTTTTAAATGTACCATTTCAAATTATTCCCATATTCCTTTATAGAAGTATTCCCTGAAATGCAAGTTTCAGATTCTGACCATGACTGGGTGATTTTGAATTTGAATATGACTGGATATTATAGAGTTAATTATGATAAATTAGGTTGGAAGAAACTAAATCAACAACTTGAAAAGGATCCTAAGGTAAGGTTACTTTTGATACTTTTAATTAAATATAATTTATAATGCCTTCTCTAGTGTTTTAGAGGTTGAACATTCTGGTAGGAAGAGATTTTACCTTCATCCCCGCCCCTCACCTCCAGGCTTACAAAAGATTTTTTTTTTCTTATTCTTAGCAAGTGGAGATTTTTGATTAAATGTGTTGTGTTTTTGAACATTCATCTTGCTTTTCCAAAACAACCTTTCCAGGTAGGAATCAGGATGCATTTTCCTATTAATCATTAGTTTTGTGATCTTCGGCAAATTACTTAAATGTCCTGGTTCCATTTCTTCGTTTTAAAATGAGAATATTATTCTATTTTATTCATCATGAGGATTAGAGATGATGTAGGTGAAAGTATACTTAAAATTTCTAAACCCATAATAGGTACTCAGTAAATGCTAGAAAATACTAATTTTACTTCTAAAAACGTATTTCCACTCTCCCTCAGAAGAGAGAAGTTAATTCACAAAACATCAGTAATAATCCAATATCACTTTATATCATAAAAAAACTATAAGTAATTATGCAGTGTATAAACACTAAAATGTTGGCCAGTTCCAATCAATCAGATTTTAACTGGATTAAACTAAATTTCCATGAGTGGAGCTGGATGCCGGCTTAGGAGTCAGTACTGTTGTCTCTGCTGTGACTTGCTGTGAGCCCTTGGGTGGTTCATTTAGACTCCATTTACGAAACTGGAGTGTTGAACTAAAAGATGTCTCTGTGTTAAGTGTCTCTGTGTTTGAAGGTTCTCTGAGACACACAGCAGTTTCTCTAGCATATTGGTTTAGAGCTTAGATTCTGGGTCAGGAAGACTTATGTTCCTGTTTTGTTCATTGTTTGCCAGATGTATGGCACCTTCGAGCCAAATCTCCCCTTTTTAAGAATATGTGAAAAAACAAAACAAACCAAAACAAACAAACAAACAAAAAACTCTCCTCAGTATTCCTGGAGGTGAGGAGTGGGAGTGGAGGTGGAGTCTCTTCCTAACAGAAAGATCAACCATTAAAAGGCTAGAGAAGGCATCCTGGTTGTATCTCAATTTCTTATATGTGTAATAATGGGTGTAATATACCAAACTTAAAGGTTTATCGTGAAAATTAAATAAGATAATATATGTATTATGTTTAATAAAGGCCTGACACAATTCAGGGATTTATAACATATTCTGTAATTAAAACAAATTATTGGGATTTTGAATAAAGCTACAAAGGCCACTTACAATAATATTTTCTTTTCAAATCTTTTCAAAGTGTCTAAATTCTTATTGCATTTTGAAGGGCATTCTAAGCCATGAAAGCAGGAGGTTATACCATTATAGTAATGATTTATTGAAACCATTGTAGATTTACTTATTGAAAAACAGAGGCAAATTATTTCTACAACATAATTGGTGAGCAAATAAAAGAGAATCTTTATGATTAATATTAATCTAGAAAACGTGTTAGTACTGCCAGAAAAGAAATTAGACTATACCAGCTGAAGAATTTAACTTGACTTGCTCGGACCCTTAAAGAAATGCTGTGAAGATAAAGTTTTTGAACCAAATAGATCACAGTGCTGAGAGGTGCTGAAGGTATGATGTAGGAGGCCTTGGGCCCCCTTAGGGACTGAGCTGACAGCAGAGTCTTATGGCCTGGCAATGCCAGGGAATTCAAATAGGAGTCTAAAGAATTACACTGGCAATTGGCCCCTGCCGTTCCACGGATATAAAGGGAACTGTTGGTGGCATTCTGTCACATCAGTAAAATCTTAAGATAAATACCATGTGAAAAATTATAGTACCTCAATGTTACCAAAAGAGCACTAAATAATACTTATTTAAGGGCTTCTATGCCAAAAACGTCCCTGAAAATAATTTGAATGTTGAAATACAATTTAATGTATACTTGGTTTGGAGAGGCCTTTTAAAATTGGTTGTCTATTTTATTTTTTAACACGATATGTTTCCAGAGTATTTTGGCAAAACTCTCTGCTGTATTTAAACCTTATGATTGATATCCAGAGGGTTCACTTATTTAAAAAACAGATGTATGATAAATAAATTATGGGGACTATCCTCAGTAATTATTGTTTCTCTGCAGATGAGATAATTCACACGAAGGTGTTTTATAGGCAGCAGTAATCTTTAAATTGTTGTTATTTTGAAAATTTTACTGAAAAATGTTCTCATCTTCTTCTGGACATATTTGGGTCTAATTCTACAGGCTATTCCTGTTATTCACAGACTGCAGTTGATTGATGATGCCTTTTCCTTGTCTAAGTGAGTATATTTTCTTCTCTCATAGTTTTAGAATATACCTCGAGACCTTTATAAAAATAATAGCTTCATCAGTATGAATTTGATTATTTAGTATATATAGGCCATAACTGATTCAGAATAGGATGCAATTCTGTAGCTGCAATGGAATTTTATAATATAATGAGTTGCTGGAAATAAAAAGACTACCAATTGAGATTTGGCAGTGATTTCTGTTGTCCAAGGGTGATGGCTACAATTTTAATGCAATCTCGCCTGTATTTTAATATATTGCACAATTATTTATTTTATTTATATTAGATTTACTCAGTGTAAGATATGCTGCTAAGTGTTTATAACCAGGTAAATTAATAAATATTCAGAGTTTAAATTTTCAGTCAATAAAATTAGGAATATATGTAGTAAATTATCTAGTATTTTTTCTTTCTTTAGCCAGACATATTGCTTGAGTAAATGTCTACTTATTTTATCCTTCTTTACTCCTTTTTCCCTCTGTGACTTGCAGTACATTTCCTTGTCTAATACTTTGCTGAAATTCCTCTCTCTCTAAGATCACCATGACTTTACTATAATTGACTACATCCTCCTAAAATGTCATTTTGGCTTCCTTAGACTCTGATATGCAAACCTGGTTCTCCTTGTGTATCTGACTCCTCTTCTACTACTGTGAGCTTCTTAGGACCAATCATGGTTATATTACTTTCTTCTATCTTTCGTTTGATAACTCATTCACTCTTGGGTTTTGGTGACCATTTTATTGCGTATCTGTAGAGTGCCAGCAGACGTAAGGTCCTCAGTAAATGTTTGTGGAAGAACATGTTGATGACTTCCAAATCTACATTGTTACTTATCTTTCCTCCTGTCTTAGGTTTATCCTGTGGTCATATGAATTCAGTACCTTAAACCCTGAACTTCATTTTTGTCTCTACCTTGCTCTTGCTATCAATTTCTCCCTGCATGGCAAAGGTACTCTTCTTTTCATCACCCAAACTTGAAACCTCAGAGATATCCTTGATTCCTCTCTTTACTTCATCTTACATGCACAGTCACCAAGTCTTATCTCTTCATTCTTAGAAATGTCTTTCGGAGGCTCACTTTACCACTTTCACTGCTTCCACACTAAGCCAAGCTTTCTTCATCTCTTGCCTGGCCTATTAGATTAGCCTCCTGTCTTCAGTCCTTTTGAATTTCATTCTGTCTTCTGTAACACTATTGCAATAAAATTGTTAGACGTCAATTTCATTATGCTTTTCCAATTGTTTAAATGCCTAGAGTACCTTTCCACCTAAACTCTTCATCCTGACATTCAAGGATCTGCACAGGCTTGAGCGGACTTACCTATTAGGCCCTATTTCTCACTATACACAAAGGAAATCCCCTGCCTCAGTTAGCTTCATCTGCCCATCACACTAATTCCCACCTTATCTTATTTGTCCTGGGCTGCCCTCCTCTTTTTCTACCTATTTTAATCCTACGCATCCTTCACTGCTCTTCCCAAGTTTCTCCTCCATGAAGCCTTCCTTGACTTTTCTATCTTATCCCTGACTTTTCTACATGCATATTTTCCTTCTTTGCTACTTTACAGTATTCACTGCCTTTTGTGGGACTTTTCATTACTGGTTTCTTATGCATAAGTCTCAGCTCTTCATTGAAGCTCCTCAATGGTAGGCAAGTGCAGTGTCATATGTACTACAGGCATACCTTGTTTTATTGTGCTTCGCTTTAAGACTTCGCTTTAAGATATTGCATTTGTTACAAATTAAAGATTTGTGGCAACCCTGAGTCAAGCAAGTCTATCGGCATCATTTTCCAGCAGCATGTGCTCATGTTATGTCTCTGGGTCACATTTTAGTAATTCTTACAATATTTCAAACTTTTTCATTATTGTTATATCTGTTACAGTAATCTGTGAACAGGAATTGTTGATGTTATGACTGTAATTGTTTTGGGGTGCAATGAATTGTGCCTGTATAAGGCTGCAAACTTAATAATTGTGTGTGTTCTGACTGCTCCACTGGCTAGCCATTCCTCCATCTCTCTCCCTCTTCTTTGGCCTTTCCATTCCGTGAGAATCAGTAATATTGAAATTAGGGCCGGGCGCGGTGACTCACGCCTGTAATCCCAGCACTTTGGGAGGCCAAGGCGGGCAGATTGTGAGATCAGGGGGTCAAGACCATCCTGGCTAACACAGTGCAAACCACGTCTCTACTGAAAATACAAAAAAATTAGCTGGGCATGGTGGTGGGCACCTGTAATCCCAGCTACATGGGAGGCTGAGGCAGGAGAAAGGAATGAACCCAGGAGGCAGAGCTTGCAGTGAGCCGAGATCACACAACTGCACTCCAGCCTGGGTGACAGAGCGAGACTCTGTCTAAAAATAAAAAATAAAATAAAATTAGGCCAATTAATAACCCTACAATGGCCTTTAGGGGTTTAAGTAAAAGGGGGAGTCCTGCATCTTTCACTTTAAATCAAAAGCTAGAAATGATTAAATTTAGTGAGGAAGGCATGTTGAAACTGAGATAGGCTGAAACTAGGCCTCTTGCACCAAACAGCCAAATTGTAGATGCAAAGGATAAGTTCTTGAAGGAAATTAAAAAGTACTACTCCAGTGAATACATGAATGATTTTTTTT